TTAAAGAAGCAATTCATACAAGGTACCCAAGAACAAAAACAAATCAACCGTACGATAGCGCAAGACAGCACCCATTGGGAATTCAATCCACCCGCGGCACCCCACATGGGAGGCAAGTGGGAAGCAGCAGTAAAATCAGTAAAACACCATCTGCGACGCACCTTAAGAGAAACTTTGCTTACATTCGAAGAGCTTACGACGTTGCTGGCACAAATCGAAGCCATTCTTAATTCCAGACCCTTAGAATCATTAAGTGACGATCCAGAAGACACGACCGCACTCACACCTGGACATTTTTTAACAGGAGGTCCGCTCACTGCAATTCCTGAGCCGTCATTAAAGAAAGTACATATGTCAAGACTGTCCCGCTGGCAATTCATTCAGCAACGCGTACAACAGTTCTGGTCTCTCTGGTCGACTCACTATCTACAACGACAGCAATCCATCTCAAAGTGGCACCACCCACAGAATGACATCAAGGAAGGTTCTATTGTGCTCATTACAGATGAAAGACTACCTCCAAGCAAATGGCCACTCGCTCGAGTACAAAAAATACATCCTGGTGACTACATTCTAGTGACGTCACCAGCATGACAAGAGCAATCTAGAATTCACTGGAATCGTAAGCATGTAGGATGATATTTAAGGAGACGCACTTGACGCTCTCGTCCTTTTACTAGTTCAATCAAGCAGTCATCAAGATCGGATCACCGTTCTACAAATCAATATCAGTTGCACAGAATTTATCTCCAACAAACGCAGACCATCTCCAACCAACTCGTAAAATATTCGTATTCGGCTCACCACCACCTCACGGGCCAACCATCAACACGAAAACTACGCCATTACACGCATGTACTGCTGGGTAGTATAGTACCGCTTGGTTGTATGTGCCAGGAACGTATCTCTAGTAAGCATCTGGAGTGAAATCCTGAATAATTAAAACCCTGTTTCTCGCAAATTTCTTCCATCTTGATGAATGAAATTTTATCGACGTGAGTGTCACCCATGAATCTGTCCACACATATGTTGCTTTTACAACCGACTTCAGTAAGGTTAATACCCAATGCATTAGTTTTAATAAGAGTAATACTGCGGCTAGGTTCAATCTTGATATGGTTATTTGTTTAAAGGGTGCAACCCTAGTTTTGGAGCATATATGACTGCGGACGTAGCTAATTGCGATGCATCAAAAAACCCATCACGGTAAGTTAACCGATATCTCGGTTAAGTTGGCGAGATCGTTTCCGATGATAAGCCATTGTGACGAAAACTACGATGGCAGTATCTCGCTTGTGTAACCACAGCACCTGCATGAATATGTTTATTTCATCAGGACAAGTGAAAAGAAACCTAATGGATCAAATATCTTAGCCACTTCAAATGAAAGGAGGCATATTGTAGTAATATTATCATCTTGCACAGATGTAGAAATGTGTCCTGTTGCGTAGGTCACCGTAATCCAAGAATTTTGGTACATCAATCGTCGAACATAATTTAGGTGATCGGATTACGATCCACGTTGATTGCGGTGATGACATCATGATAATTCCGTGTAGTGCGGTGGACATATAACTTAGTTATGTGAATACCAATGTTACCCTGCCAATAGGTCTGCTACAGGTGTATATTGACAACCAGGATGCGCGGTTCGTCCAGAATCCGGGAAATGGTCAGCGAGTGATACTCGTGATAGCTTCGACTAAAGCCAACTTCTGGACCATGAACCATCATATTGGTCAGGGTTCGCTTCATCGGCTATGCATGAAAAGTCGGGGATATTCATGTGCATGGGGAGAGTAACCGGGATTTCCGATTACATTCAGCCAAGACGTACAGTTGCGTTTTTCCTCGTTCCCTGCTGACACACATAGACTCGCCGTTGCGCGATATGCCCATTAAGGGAATATGAAAGCTTTCGAGCAATAAGACTTACCGAGCTTGCCCGGGTGTTACGCACATGAGATTCTCCTTAGTGTAGTGTCACATGTTGCATGGTATGCGGCGATGAAGATGCAAATGTTGGATTTTCGTAGTTGCACGTGTGCACGGCTCTGGTGAGATGCGCTGCACTACATTCCACTATCCGGCTAGAAGGACCAAATGTTCGAAAATGTCCGCAACACTGGGGCAAGCTCCGAGGATCTTGTTTTCTAAAATCAAACATTTTCGAAAAGATAATGAAAATGGAACATTGGCGTCTTAAATGACGAATATTTTATTACGTCAGATTTTAAAACATATAATTGTAATATGGATTAATATAAATAATTTCAAGCTTAAAAGCCCGGTATTGTCCCCTGCTTATCTAGAAATTAACTGTGCACAAAAGTCAAGAAAAATCGATAAATTATGCATAGTATTAATAAAATTTACTTTTAAATTAAAAAAAAAAATACTTCAACTCCTATAGTTATATCATTCCAGTTGATTATATTATTTCAATAAAGACACTTGTATGCGCGCAATTTTGGAATATAATAATTTTAAAATTTAGGTTTAAAAAATAATCTCAAATTTCACATTTAATTTGCTTTATTATTAATATTCTATTTCGTAGTTTGTTTTATTAAGAGAAAGCAGTGTTTGATGGAATAGATTATTGATAAATTCAGAATGGACATTGTTATTTAGCATATTGAATTATAGTTGTATCTGAATAAAATTAAATTATATCATGAAAATTTTTTTTCTTTTCATTCTGTAAAAGAAAAAAAGAAAAGAAAAGAAAGTTTAATTTTTAAGAGGAATTTAAGTATGAATAATCAATTCAATATTAATATTTTAAAATATATTATTTTATTATCTGATTTCTTTGATTATTTTAATTTTTTTTTTAACCAACTATTAATTTTCTAATTATAGTAAATATAAAATATTTTTTTAATTGATTCGCATAGCTTTCTTATATGTATATATATATATATATATATATATATATATATTAACCTTGTTTTTCAGGAAGTAAAAGCTTTACGTGAAAATTCTAATTGATAAACTTGCAGTTGATCAAGTAATAATCTCATAAATTCAATCAGCAACTAATAATCATTGTCTATAATCACTATTATATTTAAAAATTCTTATTTAATCTTTTATTTATCCACATGCTTATAGTAGAAGAAATGTCTATCTAATACGATTGTTGAAAATTCCAATAAATATAAATAAAATCTTTTCATTCAAAATATCTTATATATTTTTATATTGGGAAAGTAGCTCCTTCATACGACTTTTTCTGTAAAAATATTGTTATGTAAATATCGGCTAAAACAACGGTGTCATGCTAATCTTTTAAGGATCGATAACCGAGTTGTTACACTCCTTATTAGTGAGTATGTTTTGTGCTATTAATAATAGCGTTAAGCTAAACTTGTAAGGATTAGCAATGATTATGCACAGATTTTGTTTACTCCTAGTGATACAGTAGCCTCGACCTGATACTGTGATAAATGGTTCACCATCGCGATGCTCCTTGTTCATGGTGATGATTTGTTGCTGATTTTGCAAGATTCAGCTTGATATGAGTATGCCTTATTATGTTGGTTGTAGTCTGGCATTTTCTTGATATGAGGGAGATAGCAGCAAACCCTTATCTTGCAGTACAGGAGAATTGACGGGTCTTGCTTCTATGATGGCCGTACCTTAAGAGTGTGTGGTGAGTAGTTTAGTGGCTGACTGGCCCTTCATGGAAGAATAGCACGACTGACCGACTGACTGCATCAATGACTGAAAATCGACTGCCTCGTCTCGTGCCGTCCTTGCCTTAAATATCCGACGCGGCAGTTTACTTTAGCTGGTAGCAATGCATAGGTGTTGTTATGCGGATACATGCAGATAAACACCGAAGTAAACATTGCAGCACGTTCGAGAATAAAGTTGCATAAGTTTGAAGAACTCCAGGAAAGCGAAGCTTTAGAAGTTTCGTGAATTCCGATAATCAAATGTCTACAAAAATTCGAGAGCTAGAAGACTTATTAATTTCCGAGAGGCTAAATTCTTGAAAAAAAAGCGCCAATTCCGAACATTACGTTTAACATTGATTTTAATGATTAATTGATTAATTTTTAAAGTTTTATTCATTAAGAACGGCATTTCTTGAGTGAAATTTTCATTATACATTCCTTTAGAAAGTTCTTTCGTTTCATTTGCTTTCTTCATACAAAGCTCATTGGCTTGTTCGATAGCTTTTGTTTCTCGCCGTTACGCGTTATATTACGCTGGCCAATATATCTTAAACGATGTTTTCTTCTGTGAAATTCTCAATGCTTGGCCCCATTGACTTTCTCGGGAGCTTTTAGAGAAAGGAATAAGTTTTATGATTATCCATTATAAATGTTTTACTGAATCTGAACATTAAACATCTACGAGTGGCGTTTTACCAGTAGAACACGACAAATTAGGCGGCTAAGATTTTTCCATTAAATGGAACATTGATTGATCGGGCTGGATAAAGTTCTACTGGCGCGTGCGCTGTGCGTTGGTGATAAATGGATATTTCGGAGTGTTCCATTGCTACTTTTCTCTCTCAGCCATTCGTAGCCTCATTTGAACAGAGAACTGAAGACTGTGTAATGTCAGTACGTCTGTCTTCGTTCTTCCCGCTATTACTTTTTCCCTACTTTTCTGTCAATTTTACTTAGCGACAATTAGTCTTCATTCACCTCTTGCGCACATTTCAATCGGAATATTTTCTACAGTTGTTTTCATAGGATCAATCAACAGAGTCACATTTTTAATGGTAATTTATTCATTATAATAGATAGATGTATTTATTGATTTTTACAAATTGCTTTACAAATAAGAAAGCATGAAAATGTACTTCGATAATAATAACAAGTACTAAAATTTGAATTATTATATTGATATTCGACTTGTTTTTAAATGTTGTAACGTTAATAGGTTAATAGGATGTTTACATTTTTAATTTCAAAAAAACCAAAGAACATGAACTCAGAACTTAATAATAGCAATATTTTCATTTATTAACTAATTCGAAATTAATCTCGAATTTCGAAAAAATGATATTCAATACAAGTTTAACTCGCATTAAAATTTTTGTTCAACATTAATTCTAGAGGAGGTTTCATGCATAATAAGTTGCAAATAATCCATTTGCTAATATTCAAATATAATCTAAAAGTTATGTAATATATTTGGAACAGAAATTACTTCATCGACGTTTTATATAACAATAACAAACGCTGTTTAATAATTTTAACATAAATGTTATGATATTTGTTAGAAATTGTAGTTTTCCTGGCACGAACTGCCAATGATTCACAATAGCTAATAATATTTGTCGCCCGCCCTAGCAAAAGCTTGGGAAGGAGGTAAGTGGAAGGGCTGTAGAAAATATAGTGCGTCTTCGATAATTATAGTTTATTTACATTTTATTTATATTATTTCATTACTTTTTTGCGTTGGATGTATCCCACGTGTAATTACAAAGATACGGTTGCTTGTAACGTTTCTTGCGATGGTTGTTTCACTACACAATATGCTTCTTGGTGACTATGATTTGTTGTTGATTTTGTAAGGAACAACAACTGAGTTATTCAAAACTGAGTCAATCAATATTGAATATTGATTAG